AACTGCCCGTTTGTATCTTAGCACATAGACGCAATTTTAGTAGGCCACTAAAATTGTGTGTATACAGTACACTAAAGTATACACCCTACAAACAAGCAAAACTGGCATATGCAATATGTTAAGTCAAACTACATGGAAAGTCTAGTATCAGCTACAATCTTTGTCTTAGGATCAATGGTTCGAGCCTTTTCATACAGACCCCCTCAAAAAAAGCCACAGATTCAAATATAAGTGGCAATATTTAAAAAACTGCACTGCAAAAGTGGAAATTTCGGTAACACTTTATTTCGATAGTCCACTTTAGACATTCTATTAACAGTAAGTAACTTTGCAACTACATGTCAACTAGCAGTTAGTAGAGTATTAGTAGACTGTCTGCTTAATATCTTCTAACACTTTCTTTGTCAACATTCTACTAACCCTAAACCTACCCTAACAGTCTACTCTGAGCGTTAGTAGACATGTAGTTGCAAATTAATGAGAATTAGTTGACATGTAGTTGACATGTAGTTGACATGTAGTTACAAAGTTACTTATAGTTAATAGAATGTCTAAAGTGGACTATTGAAATAAAGTGTAACCGAAATTTCTAAAAAAAAATAAAAAACAAACAAACAAATAAATAATTAAATTAAATTAAATTTATTAAATACACATTTAAGTCTTGTTTTAGGAAAAAAATTATCGAAATAAGTGACTTTATGCTTAAAAATAAATAATAAAGTAAATAAATAAAATCTGTCAGTATAGGGTAAGAAAATAAATTCAAAGAGATTATTTTTCTTACCCAACTGATGGATTTTTTTGTTTTGTTTTAAGCAAAAACTCACTTAATTTTGATATATTTTTCAGAAAACAAGACTTATCTTAATATATTCGTTCATTTTGCTTCTTAAGTAAATGTGTCTTGATTTAAGAATGTTATTTGTACTGGAAAACGGCAAAAATCTGAACCCCACTGAACACTTCTGGGATGCCAGACTTCGTCACCCAACTTTACTGATACTTTTGTGTTTGAATGAAAGCAAATCTCCCATGCCATGTTCCAACATTCAATATAAAGCCACCCCAGAAGAGTGAAGGCTGTTATGCATGGTCACATCTCTTTTAATGTCAGTAGTTTTGATATTAAATGTTGTGTTGTGCATTGACTATGGGTGCGGTGTTTGGGTGTCCACATTTGGCCAACTCAATAGAACATATAACCTGTTCTCCCAAGACACCATAATTACTGTGGTGTATAAAAAGAATTTACTGGCAGAGAAAATAAAGATGATGACATGCAACCTTTCATGTAACCAGTTTTCCTGACCCATCTGGATTCTTGTGTTGTTGTTGGTGGATCTTGATAATGTTTGTGAGATAGTGTGAGACAAACAAGAGCAAAAGTAAAACTAAAAAGAGGCAAACCACAATCACCTGAACTAGGTTATATGGGTTAAAGGAACCAGAACAGATAGAAATTTAGCATTACGTCACTTGCTTACCAACAAAGGATTTTCTGCAGTGAATGGGTGCCGTCAGAATGAGAGTCCAAACAGCTAATAAAAAACATCACAATAATCCACAAGTAATCCACACCACTCCAGTCAATCAATTAACATCTTGTGTTTGTAAGGAACAAATCCATCAGTAAGGCATTTTAACTTTAAAACATTGCCAAAATACGGTACCAGTCCATAATCCATAATAACACTTCCTCCTGTGAAAAAGTCCATCCTCTGTTGTCCTCTCACAAAATCCACCAACATATTTGTTTAGAACGGTTTGATTTGTAAACAGTGCTTGATCTGTGCATATTTCTGTCCTGATACAGACAAGATAACTTTCCAATGGAGAAAGCAATATTATGGATAGAGAACTCGTATTTTAGCCGGAAGCAACGGTTTGAAGTTAAAAATGTCTTAATGGTGGATTTATTTCTTACAAAAATGCAGCTTTTTGCTTCACAAGACATTAACTGATGGAGTTGTGTGGATTATTGTGATGCTTTTATCAGCAGTTTAGACTCTTATTTTGACGGCACCCATTCACTGCAGTGGATCCACTGGTGAGCAAGCGATGTAATGCTACATTTCTCCAAATCTGTTCAAATGGAGTACATTTTCAGCAAATTTTTTGCATGAACTATTCCTTTAAAGAGCAAGTTAAAATCTTTCTGAAGAGACAGATCAAAAATGAACATTTGAAAATGCTAAGTGGTTCAACATTGAAACATATGAAAGTGCTTGCTAAACACCATAAATCCCAAACCTGCTGATACCATGACACCTCAGATCCAAAAATATCACTACATTATAGCTGATGCTAAAATGCACATTTAATGAATCTCAAGCAAGTGATGTAATGCTACATTTCTCCAAATCTGTTCAAATGGAGTACATTTTCAGCAAATTTTTTACATGAACTATTCCTTTAAAGAGCAAGTTAAAATCTTTCTGAAGAGACAGATCAAAAATGAATATTTGAAAATGCTAAGTGGTTCAACATTGAAACATATGAAAGTGCTTGCTAAACACCATAAATCCCAAACCTGCTGATACGATGACACCTCAGATCCAAAAATATCACTACATTATAGCTGATGCTAAAATGCACATTTAATGAATCTCAATACACAGTTGGGTACACAGGTTTAGTGTGAACTTCCACGTATATACACTTGACTTGTCACATCTAAAACAAGAATTTGCAATTCATTTACAAAATGTAATAAGGGCAGAAACAACAAATTGAACAAGAAACATATAAATCATGTTCAGCAATTTAGCAGATGATTTTCATCAAAAGTGATGTAGATTAAATGCTGCAATCTGGGATTAATTTCCATACTCAAGTGCACAGTGATATTACATTGTAAATGTGACAAGAGATCTTGAATCACCTCTGTTTGTGACTGAACTTTGCGTTTGGCTACCACAACTCATATTAAGTTTATGTAAAAATGGCAGCTTTCAAATCACTAATAAAAAATCAGGTTCTACAAACATTCTTCAAAGATTAGTTCACTCGTAAATTAAAATTCTGCCATTGTTTTCTCACCCTTATGTTATTCCAAATGTGTGTGACTTACTTTCTTTTCTCTGTGGAACACAACAAAATGCTCCTCATGCACAGCTATATGGCTTCAGAAAACGTGAATCACTTGCTGCTTGTGTCTATTTTGAAGCATTGTAACTGCAGAAAAAAATACAGTAAGTTAATTTTTCAAAATTTCTCATACATGTTTGCAACGACAATGAGGGTCAGTAAATGATGACAGAATTTCAATTTCTAGGTGAACTATAGCAAGAAATGAACCTCTAAAGATGTCCACAATGACAGCGAATAGGAAAACTGTAAACTTTGAGCATCACAGTTAAGATTATATAATCATGAACTAGCAGTGAGCGGTCCAGCATAGCTTCAGTGATTGATCACAGTGCAGAAAGGATGATTAGGAACCACGTCTATGGATCGTATGTCCACAGCGGCCATTGTGTCACACTTTCCTGACAATACGTCGAGTTTTCTTCAAGTCTCGTCTCCCTGTCCGCACCGGCTGGCTACTGACTCTCCACGTTCCATGACAGACACGAGAACTGTGGGTATAAAAACTATACAGTTATTAAAGCATAGAAACATGCAGATATTTAATTAGCTTCTGTTGTTTTAAAAGCAAAATTTTAGCGTTTTACTGAAATACTTCTATATAGAGACTGATTTTCCAGAAAAGTAAACACTGTGAATAATAAGATACAATTTAAGTTGCTTCAGTCAAATGAAGTATTATTAATTTAGATGTTAGCATAATCATATTTAGGTCACTTACAAGACATTTAAGGCATACAGGATAACTCTCTTTATTTGTGGGTGTTCCAGAAAGAAGTTGGTCAAATTGAGTTAACTTAAGGGACATTTTTAACACATTTGTGAGGTAAAATACACATAAAAACATCTTACCTGGAGCACCACATTAGGCGTTTGTGAGGTTTGGCTGCTTGTCTCCTGTACTGCATCAGTCCACACACCAGCTCGTGGGCTATCATGACGTAAAGTAAGAATATGAGCACACCGGGGTCCATCCTGCCGGTAAGTGCAAGTATTCACTATTTGACAGGTTTTTGCACAGCAATGCAGGTTGCAGGGATAGATAATAGTGAATTTAGTCACAGCATCACTGTCACGCGGTCGTGTCTGTTACCCCTCCACGAGTCACTTCTCAAAAACAATTAATAAACAGCGATATTTTGCTCTCCTTCATTGGTTTTATAATCCGAGCTTTAATTTTGAACACAGCAAAGCTTTTCATCTTTTACTGTTGGCGAAGCGTGAGGATTTTGTTGCTTGAATTACCCTACTGAAGCTTTTCGATAGACGGATCAGGAGGATGTTGCCGTGGAGACATCGCCGTTGCTAAGAGACGCCGTAATTCGGTTTCGCATCCGTCTGTAGCGTTGAGTTTGAAAAGAAAATACGTCATAATTGTATATGAGAAAAATATTTGTTATATTTGAAATGTTTATTTTACAAAATACATTCCGCGACGAGGACGCCTGTTGTGTCCCTCTTGAATATATGTGGAAACGACTTTAACAAGCTGACAGCAACTTTCACTGCGGTAGCCTATTATAGACGCTTTTCACGACATATCTTCAAAAAACAGCAACTTTATTTGTAATCTTTTTGTCGTTTATATATTTTTTCAGTAGAAGTCAACATTTAATAAACACCTTGCTAATGGATAAAACAACGTTTTAAGGCAGTCATATCTATCTATCTATCTATCGACATACATGTACAATTTATTTACACTTTAAGATATCCTTTGAGAGAATATTAAAGTTGCATAATATAGTTGTATAATACTCCTATTAATTGCAGATGATACAATTTTTAAATAAATGATCAATTTAATGTTACATTTTCATATGCAGAATGGGAATACAATACAAGATTTTGATTTATGGAATAACACTTAACACCTCAAATGGTTCATTTACTTCAATTTTCACCTCTCCCATAACAAAAACTATGCATTGTAGCCTTGAAAATTTAGTGCATTCTTCTGGAACCTCTTTAATAGAGAATCCATAAAGTTGAAAGACCATCCACTAGTTACATCTTTCTCAGTGATGGCCATGGTGAACACTTACACCACAAAACCTCTAACAATATACATCATGGACATCTAATACCACGGGGCTTGTTGATTTGTTTGCTTTTTGTTTACGCTGCTGTTCTGTTTATACTGTAGATCATATATTAAATTACATTATATTGGATTGGTCTACTTGTTTGAAGACGTTAATTTATATCCTGTGATGGCATATAGAACAGCCAATAGTGAAGTTATTTGACCCCAATATTTCACTCTTAGTAAAGATAACTCTATATCGTGTAGTATGTTTTTGCATGTGTTATGACTGGGCTAGTCCTGCCACAGCGACACAAGTAGTTCTCCTGCTGTGATGTCGACTGTTTTACTGAAAGGCTGCCAGTTGGTGGCAAAGTCGCCAAAACAAACTCCTACGGTCCTGTATTTGTATTCACCCCCTCCATACGTTCCTGTAAACAAGCAAGCACACAAAAGGATATTGAAATATTGGAGCACAGTTTATATTAGAGATTATAGTAAACCAATATGACTTTCTTTCATCGGTGGAACACAAAACGTGAAATTCTGAAGACTATACTGGTTGTTCTTTTCCATGCAATTACAATAGATGTTGACTAGAGCTTTTTTCAAGCTTCAGAAATGATGCAAAAACTCAATAACAGTACCTATGTGACTTCTTAAACCTTCAAACATGACTTCTTAAGCCATACAATAAGTACATTTAGTGTAAAACAAACATAAAATGCATCTTTTTGATCTCCACAACAGAAATGAAGTACGGGTTTGGAATACAAGGGGGGTGAGTATATAATGTCCGAATCCCTTCAACACAAAACAAGACCATATATAGCCAGATAACTTACAGCATTTCCAGATTCATACATGTCATTGCCAAAGCCAACGCAGTTTATATGAGATACGTTTGACTCCTGTATTAAAGCATTGGCTTTATGTTTAGCCTTCAGGTAGAACACCAGCAAGGCAGCGAGAAGCATTAAGAGCACAATGACGACTACAACAGAGGCCACAATGGTTCCTGTGTTGTCAGATGAGGCTGAAAATATATATAAAAGTATATAAAAAGATTTTTACTAAACAAAGTTTTCACACCTATCTCATTCATGTTCACACAGAATCATAGGTATGATGGTAACAAGAATACATAAAAATGTAAATGACTCAAAAGTAAACTAAATCTTGCTATAGGAAGAACTCTTACTTTGGTCTGTCTTCTGCCCAGCACAGTTCACCCCGACAGTATAGCGTATGTCATCCAAAGCAAGAACACCCTTCTCGCCTTTAAATCCTTCTAGTACAATCTGCCTCCCGTTAAAACACAGACAGTCAGTATAATCACACTCACATTATAATATAAAAACCTATATGAACATAGAGTACAGTTGGCTTTGGTAACCTGGTACTCTGTTTCTGAGGTGATATTGACACTGAAGAGTTTCCAGTTTCCACCTCCTTCATGCAACGTCAGCAATTCATGTCTGGTCCCTTCAGACAGCCTCCACACTGTGAGTTTAGTGTCATCTTCACCAAGAAAGCAATATAATAATAATCATTAATAAATTAAATCCAAAGTGACTAACAGTGCATTTTACAGGATATGTAATAGCGGGATGCTGGTTTTAAGGAAAAGTATCGTGTATAATCGCTAGAGACCTTTTGACAAATATGTTAGAAGTTTGGGTTGATAAGAATGTACGTTTTTGAAAAAAAAAGATCTTATGCTCACCAAGGCTGCACTTATTGTATACAAAATAAAATAAAAACAGTATTATTGTGAAATATTATTCAAAATTAAAATGACTGTTTGCTATTTGAATATATTTTAAAATTCAATTTATTCCTGTGATGGTAACGCTGAATTTTCAGCAGCCATTACTCCATTCTTTAGTGTCACATGATCCTTCATTCTAATATGTTGATTTGGAAAACAGTTGAGAAAACAGTGCTGCTTAATATTGCATATATGAATATAAAATTCAAAAGAACATAATTTATTTTAAACAGAAAACTTTTGTAACATTATAAATGTATAAACGTCACTTTTGTCCATTTTAATGCATCCTTGCTCAATAGAAGTACTAATTTCTTTCAAAAAATGATCTAATTTCTTTCCTTCATGATTACAAACTTCTGAACAAACTTGGTCACTGACAACTAAAACTAACCATTTGATGATATAGATACATATATACATACACATGGTTGGCTGATAAACCCAAAAGCTCAGACAGGTTCCTTTGGTTGGTGCCAGGTGAGGGCTCAGCAGCCAGGCATTCTGGGTAGCGGTGTCACGCTGGGAGTTAGGAAGGACCAAGAAGTGTCCTAGAGTCAGAAAAGAGACTAAATTACACCCAGTTCCTCAAAAATACATGAGCTGGTGACAAAATCTTTATTATGAGTTAAGAGCATAAATCACCTTCTTCTGTGTATAGTGTGTGGTCATATGGTGGTGTGCTGTAGAACATCTCAGCTTGCACACTAGTCAGGTCCCAGTCTAACCAGTCTACAGATGGGTTCTGAGTATTGGACCAACCACACAGACCTTTCTCGAAATCACAGACGCTATCTGAAATACATAATGCAAATAACAATTATTACAACACAAAAAAAGATAAACAATCTAAGATATTATATATATACATATATTGTAATAATAAAGAACAACCTAATTAATTATTTTTAAAAATAGAATATTAATAATAAAAAATAAGATGTGTTTGGTGATATCATCTGTAAAGGAATGTTGTCAAGGGCGGAGCAAGATTATGAAGATTTTTTTTCTATTTTAAATAACACACTAATTCTTTCACAATAAGAACAGGAATGGGTATTGAGAAAGTAAATGGTGTATATTTTGATTGACCTGTTGTGGGGCAGCTGTGAGTCGAGTAGGTGATGTCATCAATGGCGATAAAACTGAATAGGTCTCCTTCACCTTTCACCTCAAACTCCAGCTGAATCCCAAAAATACATAAAAGCTCACACTCAGACCTTTTATTAAACACAATAAACTAACAAAACAGGTTTCACTGCATTACATTACTAAACAAGGCAAGGCATCAGATCTCTTACTTGCCAATCCCCATGCCAGTTGACATTGCCTTGGCCATGACGCCAAGCATGTCCCTGCCTGATGCTACTGGAGAATAACTGTATCCTGTTTCCATCAGTTGGCTTTATATAGACTTTCAGCGTGCCTGTGTGGGGACACATATCCTGTTTTTACCTGCGAATGAATAGTTGTACACACACTTATGAGATAATGTTCTCTTACCTGGTTTTTCTCCTCCTGTATGGTACCAGAAGTGTACACATTCGGTGTGAGACAAACCTCTACGCACAGGGGAAGTCAAGGTGGTCACACTGCCCTCGGGAAGGACGTCAGAACTGCTGTGGGCCAGCATGTAGAAACCTGGTCACAACATACCATTCGTATCATTTATTTGAACTAATCCAGCTAAAAGAGAAAACCTGGTAAAAACAGGTTAAAGGAATAGTTCACCCAAAAAAAAAAAAATTCTGAAGATGTACTCACCCCTCAGGCCATCCAAGATGTAAAATGAGTTTGTTTTGGAGAAATTTAGCATTACATCACTTGCTCACCAAGGGATCCTCTGCAGTGAATGGGTGCCGTCAGAATGGGAGTCCAAACAGCTGATAAAAACCACAATAATTTACAAGTAATCCACACGACTCCCATCCATATTACAAACACACAGCTTTTCACTTCATAAGACGTTAATTGATGGACTGGGATGGAGTTAATTGGGTTAATTGATGGAGTCGTGTGGATTACTTGTGGATTATTGTGATGTTTTTGTCAGCTGTTTGGACTCTCATTCTGACGGCACCCATTCACTGCAGAGGATCCATTGGTGAGCAAGTGATGTAATGCTAAATTTCTCTAAATCTGTTCCGATGAAGTAACAAACTCATCTACATCTACGATGGCCTGAGGGTGAGTAAATAAAAAAATAATAATGTTTTGGTGAACTATTTGTTTGAGCTGGATTGTGAGCTGTTAGTGAATAAGACACAAAAACACTGAATGCAAAAGTGTTTGATCAAAACTGAGCTCGAATTTCTTTAATTTTCATATTTCCCTCACCATTTTCTGTCTCCAAGGTATGGTCCGTCTTGGGTCCAGTTTTTGTTGAAGCCCAACTCTGGTGTATCCACCTGGCTCTTCCAGAACTGGTGTAGCCACAAGTCTGACTCTCAAACGAGCACATAGTAGGCAAAGAACATGGTCCTGCCACAAACGCCACATCATCTAAAGCCAACTGACCGTCAAAACCAGAGCGAGTGGCCTCAAACACCAGCTACATATGAGAGATAAAGAGACAGAATAAAAAATAAGTAGAAACAAGGATAAGAAGATTAAAGCAATTGTTAATATTAAAAATGTTAAACATCCCCTTTTACAGTCATAAGATGCTTAATGTAGTCAGTTTATGCAATAATAATCATCTTGTAAGCCATTATCTGTGGTCATTCACAAAGTCATTATGTGTTTTTCTAGAGCTTTTGCTGACAATTATCCTTTAGGCGTGTAAACAACTTTTGTGTGCACCTGGAAAGTGGTGAGCTGAGGAGGCACAGAGCAATGGCCCTCATGCCAAACGTTTCCATGGGCACTGTTGCGCGTCCACAAAAGCTCTTCTGAGCTGTCAGCAAATAGCAGGTTTACACTGAGAGCACCTGGGAAAGAGAAGATGAAACAAATGAATTATAATGAAGTGTAATGTTTGAATCAGTTACTCTGCATTAGCTGTAGGACCTTCTGCTCACACATCAGCTAAACTGATATTTTAAGAAGCTGGGAATAAGGTGTTCAGATCCACCTGTGTTTGGCCCATAGAGTTTGTAGAAGAAGGACAGACAGTCAGACAGATAGACAGACAGACAGACAGACAGACGGACGGACGGACAGACAGAACGATAGAACGACAGATAGACAGATAGATAGAGATAGACAGACAGACAGACAGATGGACGGACGGACGGACAGACAGACAGGCGATGGACGGACGGACGGACAGACAGACAGACAGACAGACAGATAGAAGTCGATATATTGATTATTGCGACAGGCCTACAGACAGAAAAGCAGACACACAACTAGACAGTCTACCTGAAGGCGATGATCTCTGGCTCCAACATAGACTTCCTCCTTTACCCAAATCCCTGCCATCTCATTGGTCCTTCCAGAAAACTCCCACAGCACAGGATGAGTCCCTAACACACTGTCTACAACATACACTGCCAGATCACCTGCAGAGAGAGCAAGAGAATCTATAGCCTACCATCATACCGACTTACAGAGGTGAGACAGGTGTATTACAGCTGATGTTGTACCTATGTGTGGGTTACTGCCGCTGAGACTGTAGGAGAACTGAAGGATGCATGCTGGACCTGATGGACCCAAGAGAGGGGTACGAGTTTGGGCTTCACTTAGCTGCTGCCCAGGAGCGCCAGTCACAGTCAGGAACTCCTCTAATCACACACACACAAATGAAACTAATTTAACTTACCTCAAAAAATCATTTCCTAGTTCCATCATAATAAAAACTGATTTTTCACCTTTCAGATTGTCATTATACTCCAGTTTTAGCTCCCAAGCTTGGCTCCCTATACTGGTATCTGTCCAGCCAGAGCTTCCCAGCTCATACGAGAAGTCCCCTATGTACACAACATTGTGTGAATATGATTATTTATATCATAAAATAAATAGAAAACGTGTAAATAAATAGAAAATGTGCCATTGGGAAGAAATGTGCGATATGATCTTTTTTTTTTTAAAGATCTTAAATATAAAACTAAACAGACTTATATAAATAGCAAAAGATGTTTTTTGTTTTTTTTTGGTGGAATTATACACTTAAATACAACAAAAAAGCATGCAAATACACTGAACGTGAACATATAAATAATGGAGGAACTCACCACACTGAGCCTCATCTTCTCCAGCAGGACAGTCCTCCTTAAAGTCACAGATCTTCAGATCGTCATCTGTGCAAGGGTGAGCGGGAGGCTTTGGAAATTCTGGACGTGACATTGATTCTATATGCAGGGAAGTGCAAGAGAGAGAGACTATTGAATAATTTTTTATAAAATTACAGACAATATACAGGCAAGCCTACAGTTGTGGTGTATAATCAATGTAGACAGGTGTAAAACTAGAGACTAGAGAGTACCATTGGATAAGTGGCACTCAGGGGACAACACAATATCATCGATAGCGATCCCTCCGTAAGCTTGGTCTCGAATGGCAGTGACAAACAGAATCTGATTGGGGCAAGATCAATAAATTAGATAGATTTTTATGACAGCAGTGTAATAAAAAGTGACAACCAATTGTTGCCAGTGGAGCGATGAGTTCATGTACCTGGAACGTGCTGTTGACAACAAACTCCACCTCAGCCTTTACCCACAAGTCTCCGAGAGCACCTCCACGTTCCCATACAGGATAGATCTGCTTCTCGGCCACCAACACAGAAAGTCCGCCAGACACTCGGCCAAACTGATGTGTGTACATTACCATCTGTAATTATGAAAAATGGGTGTAAAATTTAAGGCCATAACCACTATAGACATTGAGACGCCCACCTAAACCTGATTATGTGGATAGATTTTTGATCAAACAAGTGCATTAAGTAAGGCATTTGGTACTATATACTTACCCGACAAGGATGTGTGTCATTGGTAGGTGCCAGGGGAGGGCTTTGAAAAGACGTCCAATCACTCTTCATGACATCAGGTTTGGTCACATACAAGAAATGTCCTGAAGAGCAATAATTCATTGATGCTTATTTTGAGACTATTTCAGTGCACATTTTATTGCTATCTTTAACAAAAACTAAAATGAGAACAGAAATAAAAATAAAAACTGGAAAAAAACCCTGAATAAAACACACCTTAAAAACATTTTAATGGCTCTATAGTTCACTAAAGTAAAATAAAAATGGTCATAAATCAATGATAGTTTTTGATACTCTACCATTCAAAATTTTGGGATGGCAAGATTTTTTTAATGCTTTCTTATTCTCATCAAGCATTTATTTGATTAAAATACAGTATGAATATTATTAAACTTTGAATATCAGCCACAAGATTCTTCAGAAATAATTCTAATATGGTGATTTGGTGCATAAGAACATTTCTTATTATCATTAATGCTGTAAACAGTTTATTTTTGTGGAAACCGTGATGTTTTTTTTTTTCAGGATTCTTTAATGAATAGAAGGTTCCAAAGAGCCGCAGTTATTTGAAATAGAAATTGTTTGTAAAATTATAAATGTCATTACTGTCACTTTAATGCAATAATTTTAATGCATCCTCACTGTATATAAATTATAATTTATTTTTTTCTTCCTTAAAAAAGAAATTTTACTGACCCCAAACTTTTGAATGGTAGAGTATATGCTGTATTATAAATAAGTTCAGACCGGGCCGCACAAACCTGCCATCGTATTAGTTGTGTGGTCTCTTCCAGGTCCTTTTAGAGGCTCAGAAAGTGATATATTCATCTGATTGGTCCTTGTCCATTTCAAGGATGATATCGTTCGTAGGTCCCATACACAAGCGCCATCTTCAAAGTCACAGCTCATGCCCTCTGTATATACTAAATACACATCAACATAACAAAACATCAGTGATTATGACTCCAGACCAGCGATCTAACACAGGAACCAAATGCACTGAAGACTAAATCAATGAAATAACATCTCATCATTAACACATCACTGATTTCTCTCGCTAGATTCATGGTCTCTCACCACAGTTCTCTTCATCTGTTCCATCACCACAGTCATCCGTGCCGTCACACGCTTTATAGTCCTCCACACATCCTTCCCGCTTACATGTCACAAATCCAGGGCCGCATGTTCCATTTTCAGGGGGAACTGGAAGAGAGAGAGAATCCAAACATCCTTATTATCACTAAAACTGTGATCCATCTAATGCATTGATCCCTGAAGGACCATGAACATTCAAAATGAGGCAAGTGGATTTTAAATGCAACCTCTAAAAAATGTATTTGTACCTTTGATAATTAAGTTGCACAACTGATCTATGTAAACAAATAAAGAAAAGAAAAGGGAGCCAGGAATGCAACTGGTGTCCTCTAATGAAAAATAAAATAAAATAAATAATAAAATAGAATAAAACTAAATTGTGACCAGTACCCTGGCAAAAATAAAAAATCATAATAAAATTAAAAGAAAAGAAAAGAAAAAGAAACGGGGCTTTCATTGGTGCACCCACAAAAAAAAAAAAAAATGTTTTTTTATAAAAATAAAAAATAAAAATAAAATAAAATAGCTGAATCATGCTTCTGGTTGTTCTGTTCGTGAATTAATTTTACCCTTCTTTTTATTTCTCTTTACCTGGCAGGGCACAATCTAGGAATTCCATCTGATCGATGGACACATCTCCCTGCTTCCCTTCATTGCGTCTCGAATGAAGCTGGATATGGAAAGGGCCCGAGATACGGCCCAGGTAGATGGTGGCCTCCCTCCAGCTGCGGATGCTGGAGCTCTCTGGTCTCCATACCACTGCTTTCTCGCCATCAATTTGCCACACCGATCCCCACAGTGGGGTGTCACCCAACCCTGTGTAACCTGAAACACACACGTATAGGGTTAGATGTGTCCCTATCTTCATTTAATTCTGCTCTTCATATTAACTGGCCAGTTTTCAATAAAGTTTTGAATGTGTTAGTATATGTGTGAACCTGAGTCCCAGATGAAGTATCTGAGCCGAAGGCGACAGGTAGGAGAGGAATGTTTTATTGTAGGGGACACAAGCACAGTGGTTCTGGGAGTATCTGAAGTCACAGCCGTCACTGCCATGAACCAGCCTGAGGAAAACAGACACATTACATGAAGAGAAACCTTGATAAAGCTTCAGTATGTTGTTAGGCATCATGAATAACATTTTTACAGCATTTAAAAATCTTTGTTAATGTTTTTTTCTACATATATTAATACATTTAAAATGTAAATTTGTATAAATTAGCATTGGTAAATGTATTAACAACAAGTATGAATTATTAATGGAAGATATTAAATGCAGATATTAACATTAACCTTATATGAGCAATGTAAAATGCTTATGATTTATAAACGCTGTAAAAAAGTTAATTATTAGTTTAAGATAACTAATGCATTAGCTAACATTAATGAATGGAAATTATTACTGAAACATTTTTGAATAAAACTATTTCAAACACCATTTTGTAATTTTTGTACAATTATTATAGATGCAAGTAATTAAGTGAACTTAATTTAATAAATAATAATATATGCATATAATTATAACCAATTACATCACCTAAAATATACAGTAGCGTTCAACAGTTTGGGGTCAGTAAGAATATATATTTTTTTAATGTTTTTGGTATTTAAAAAAAATATATATTTTACAATGTAATTTATTCCTGTGATGGCAAAGCTGAATTTTCTATTACTTTCCAGTCTTCAGTGTCACATAATTCTACTAATATGCTGTATTGGTGATCAAGAAACATTTATTATCATAATCAATGTTGAAAAGAGTTGTACTGATTGCTTTTTTTTGTGGGATTTCAAAATCACTATTTATTTTAAATAGAAAACCTTTGTAACATTATAAATGTCTTTACGGTCACTTTTGATCAATTTAATGCGTCCTTTCTAAATAAGAGAATGAAAAAAATAAAAAACAGTGACACCAAACTTTTGAACAGTAGTGTATTTCTTCTAAATATTAATCAAAATTGTTTAAAAAAGAAATCTATCTTTACTAAATTTTGCATTTCCATTTTTAAAATCATTGAAGCAGCTTAGAATGCAGTTTAAGTTTGTATTAAGTAAATCTATCACTGGATTTGGAAAGGCTTTATAAATATAAAGAGCTCCTGCAGGAAGGGTAAGCTGAATTATCATGTACCTGTGGAAGTGCCAGTGGTGTAGTCAGAGGACGGCCCGCTGTCAGGGAGCGTGTTCCCTCTCTGCTGTCTCTGCCACATGTACCCACCTTCATCTGACTGGACAGTCCATCCACACTTCCCCTCGTGCTCAAAATCACACACAAAGTTCCGTCCCTGATAACCTAACATTCAACCAATAAACGAGAACAGGAAAAATGTCAAGAAAAGGACACAAATACATTAACCAGATGGTATGAATATATAGACATTCAGTGTCTTACCACAGTCTTGCTCGTCACTACAGTCTTGGCAGTCACAAACAAAATCACATCTGTCTTCTGGAGAACTGTTGCAGTCATTTCGCTCCAGAGCCACAGCTAGCGAATGAGAGTAATGATGAAGACACGTGATTGGCCTTTCACAGTTGTGTGTATAAAATCCACAACCATATCACACTTCTATAACTGTACTTTTACAGAGACATTATGAAAGCTTTGAGCAATTATTTCATTCAAATTGAACAAAACATTTATGCAATATTTCATAAATAACATTATCACGTTGAATTTTGCAATTCATGAAAAATAACTCCATTTGAGGGTTTTAAATAAATCAACTAATTAATTAATTTAAAATGATGTTCAAGTTATTAAAAATAAAGTGCCTGAATCAACTTTGGGCAAACATAAGATTTTTATTTTTTTGTAAAATATAAGATGTTTTTGCTGGGAGTTTATTACTGCACTAATAATAAAGAACCTATTTAAGCACAGAAATCATATACTACCATTCAAACCTTTGGGGTCAGTTAAATTTTTTAAAAAGAAGTCTCTTGGCTGCATTTATTAGATCAGAAATACTGTCAAAATTGTAATATGAACATTTAACATATAAACAATATCTATTTTTAATAAATTTGAAATTTAATTTATTCCGGCGTTGGCAAAGCTGAATTTGCAGCAGCATTACTCTAGCCTTCAGTGTCACATGATCCTTCAGAAATCATTCTAATATGCTGATTTTCTGCTCAAGAAACAATTACATTATGCTGCAAGTGATTGAAAGTCCAATTTAGCCTGAATTTAGGCTTCAAGACATTAAAAACACTTGGATTTCTAAATCTCCTCTTGTTCGAGTTACAAAGGTCTGTCTTTTTAGTAATCACACGTAGTACGCAGTCAAAGGTCTCTTGACACACAAATGTCAGATATGAGGCTGCATTCCCATACAAGGATGAGAATTCTTAAACAATTCAGAAAATCAATGGTAAAATACCAGAGATTGTATAAACTGAGAATATAGTGTAGATGGTTCTGCAGGTTTAGCAGCAAACAAACTGCATTTACATTAATACAGGTTTAACATCGATTTAACTTAATGGAGCTTATGTATAGAAATATTAATAATTAGAAATATCAGCCACCAAAATGTATAACTGAAAGCACTAAAAATAAAAATGAAACAAAAAAAGACTAATCTTCAATAGTGCACACATGTCCCAAAGTGGCATTCAATACTTTAAGCAAATGACCTGAATACGTTAACAACAAATAAAAAACAAAAACACCAGATCTCACCCCTCTGACAGAAATTCAGTGTGAGACACACAAGGAGAATCCAGTGGCAGGTAGCCATGAATCCAGTCTTTACTTTTGCCACCAGAAGACAGAACAAGAGCTCTTCTTCAGCGTACAGTGAGCAAAAGCACCGTCCTGCCACATATGAAGTTATTAACTTCACCTGCGTCCCTCCCTCCTGCTTCCACAAAGAGATAATGCCTGGACTTTACATTTTAACCCCCAGACACGTGCCAGATCCTTCCTTTAAAACGGCTCTGCCCTTCTGAAAATATGCAGCACAGACAGTTCAGTTTATTTTGGCCTCAACACCAGACACTTCACTTGACAATGTTACTATTTAGCTAAAATGAATGGCACGTTCTGGTCTCACTAATTGTAGCAAACGGTAAACCCTTTCTAGGGTAAACCTTGACAGATAAGCAAAGAAACAAGAAATGAATAAAGAAAATGACACAATAAGAGATGCAGTACTAGAGGCAAAAGTAAACTCGTTTATTAAATATGATGTTGTGCAATTCATTGCCGTTTTCTTTGCACTAAATAATTTAAATGCAACTAATACAAGAAGAGCTCTATTTTAATCTTCAGGCTTGAAATGACAAAAAAATGTGCTGACTTAATGCAGCTGTTTTTAAATGTTAATAACATTCTCCGGATGTTGTTAGGTCGTAATATTTCAAGTCAAGAAAGTCAGTGCTCCTAATGGCATGTTCTGTTAAAAATGCTGACAAACGGATGTGGATCGTCAAGTTTATCAGGCAAGGTTTACAACCACCGATCAGGTCTGAGGGTCCAGATTTATAGCATGGTGCTTTAGAAATCATTAAATCACAATATATATTTTGTGTGTTGTAGTTAAGCACAGTAATTTGTTTTAACAAGATATTTCCCTCATTGTGACGCATACAAACATTTCTTCCAACTTGAATGACAAAAAAGCAGTTCTGGAAATTTCTCTGGACTTTATTATCATTTCAGGATGTTAGTGTTGCACTTTATAGCATTTTATGGTTTGGATGAAGTACTTAACCTGCTTTATTTTATTATTTTCTATATTTAAAGACCAATGGCCATAAACATAATTGCATTCCTTTCTCATTGTTGCCATGTGTTAAACTACACATGAAGTTAAAAGGAGGCCTCTCCTTTAGTTTTGGAGTAAATGTCTTATCCATCCATCCATATCAGAAATCCATTAAAGTTCTGTTCTTTCTCAGCCTTGGCACATCAAGACTTGAATGCTACGTTAAGACAGGTAGGTTTGAAATAGCGTCCTTATATGCAGCTGTAACCCATTCAATACCCTTCATCCGCCCACGTCACCTCATAGTCTGGGTAATGGGTTTCTATCTTCTCTGTGGAAACAGAATGCTTTGCTCTCCCAAATCCCTGAAAAAAAAGATGGAACTGATTACTGGATAATCAAATTAAAGGAATATAAATTGTTTAAAATTAGAACATCATGCGTACCATGGAATAACCGTAGACATGGATCTTTTTTGCAGCACTGTCATGTTTGATTCTTCCACCTCCGAGACATTCACAATCCACTCCTCCACCTCTCTCCAGTTCTCCGGCCACACGGTCATAGATATCAGCTTGAGGAGATAAAATGTTATGAAGGTTTTGTAGCTAGATACAAAGAAACTTTTGTTCTCCTATCAAATGTGTGGAGAAAGTTCCTAAAAACTGTAATGCATATCTAGAAAGACTAATAAACTATTTTGTATTTAAGCAAAACTCAAGTGTTTTTCTGCAGTAAAAAAAACGTTAGTAAAATGAAAGCTAGAAAAGTTGAAAATCTAATACAGAGGAAGAAAGAAAGAGAAAATAATAGCAATATGCAAAACAGATGATTAATTGTTGTAAGAAATAAAAGACCAATCACAAAGCAATATGCAAAAAAAGGAGACCAATCATTCACAACAATTCAATATGCGAAACATTTATTTATTCATTCTATTTCTCCCAGTGACGCGAATCTTTTGAATCAGTTCATTGAAAAAGATTCATTCACTGGCTGTTTCTGCATATGGAGACTATCACTGCGTCCTAATGTGCATACTATCCACCCTAAATAGTATTGAAAATGACTAAAATCACATAGAATTTAGGATGGATGCACATTGGTACGCAGGCTGTCTTCTGTTTTGAGTGAGTCACTTCAGTGAACGAACGAGTCAACGAATGTAAGTGTAGAACGACTGGGTTGCTTTAAAAAATTGTTAAAATAAAACATTCTTAAAAGAAACATCATAATTTATAAATAACTAATCATAAATAACAGTATCAAAACCAAGAGATTCGACATTGGCCCAGTATTTCCCCTAAATACAATGATTTAGGATATTAATTAAGTTTTGCCAAAATCAACATTTGGCAGTTGCCATTCAACTACAGCTTTAAAACTTCTTTAAAATGTATTTTCTCATATTCAAAACCAATTGCATTCAATAAATGTGCACATCACATGTCATTCATTCAAACTCTTGAATGGAGTCCTACCATGATACTCGGCCCATGCGTATCCTCTCACAATATCAACATATGAATCGTCGTCTTTGCTGTGCACCCGTATGAGGATGTATTTGAAGACGCCATTGGGATCTAAATCAACCTCTGGGACTTTAGCGAGACGTTCGGTGGACATTTTTGCAAAAGCGGGAGTGAAAAATCCTAACACTACTAAAGCCAAGTTCAGTACAACAACAGAGAAGCACTTCATTTACCACTGCTGCGTTTTGACGTACTGGAATGAACGTACTCACATTAGCGACACCTAGAGGGTTGGAGCAAAACGACATGCTGCAGCAGCAAAGAACAAAATCACAACATAGAATGTTTAGATTACGTTAAGTATGGTATGTTTATGCAAAACAAAGTGGCTGAATTTTTGTGTAATGCTATTTTTATTAGAGGTACGATTTTTTGTCATAAAATGTATGCTGTTTGGATTGATCTGTTATATGAAGAGGTACGTTTTTTTGTCATAAAATGTATGCTGTTTGGATTTATTTGTTATTTGAAGAGGCTTAATAAGGGCTAAAAAAGAGAAAAATAGGGGGGGGGGGTACCATAGTAACTACAGTTATTGTCCATACAATAAAACTGTGGTAATATTGTATTGGCCATCAATGAGTTAAAACTATAAAGTGAAAGTGACCAAGTGAAAGTGAAAGTGACAAATAATATAAACAAACTAAACAAATAAAATCACATGGTATTTTGTACCATTGTATTCTTTAAATTATTTCTTTGTACTGCTGTTTTACAGTCTGATCAACACTCACTAGTGGACACAAAATATTCAGCACATGTTCATTTTTTGCAAATGTTTATTTCTTCAGCCCAGGGAATTGACTGCACAAACTTTTTTAATACAAAGAATACATTTTTGGAAAGATCATATTTGCAAATAAGAGTGGTTACTCTAGAGAAAAGTGCACTCCGAGCACCTCTCTAGGGCTCTTCAGGAGCTCTGTGGCTGTGTCAAACTCTAGCGGTATCGTCTTCCTTTCAGCTTTGAGTTCTCGCTCCATTAGCTGCCATACAAAATGTGGAGGGGATAATGATTCATTTAACAATTTTATACTTGTAACACATGGCAAATATAACTATCAAAACTCCCAAATGGTGCTAATTACCTCAAATGTCGAGAGCTCTAGCATCTCACTGATATCTTCCTCTTGTTCGGTCAGTGGCTCGTTGATCTTCAAGGCAGCCTTGGCCACATCTGGGTGGTAATGCTTCTGCAAAGTCTAAGAGATTGGCCTTTTTTCATCAATATCCTTTTAGATATTCATAGGTTAATTCTTTGTCGACTTTGTTGATGGTGAGGCCGTCAGAATGTCAATGTCAGGAATGACAGCTCCAAATAAACAACAATATGAAGATTCTTGGATTTAGTCTTACCTTGATCTCCCATAGGCTGCTCTCCAGAGCATGACACTGAGCTGGATCTTCCTCTTCCATCACATACGGGTCATCACAAGGCTCTGATTAAAAAAAAACAAGAACAATTTTTCATAATAAATACAGAAAAATGACAAGTGTCCCTGTATTCCATGAATAATAAATTAAATAAATAAATGCTTTTTTTTAATATATTTTTTTTAGAATAAACAGTAATTAATACAAAAATATATTTTAAATAAATAAATGCATAGATTTTTATATATATATATAAATAAATAAACAATAAATAAATAAAATATGTATATATTTGTAAATGTACATATTTTCAATCAATAAAAATAAATATGTATATATTTATACTGGTTTAAATTAAGATGAATAATAAATTAAATACATGCATTTTTAGAATAAATAGTAATTGATACAAAATAAAACATTTTATAAATAATTTAACAAACAAATAAATGCATATATTTTTAAATGAATAAAAACAAAATAACTAAACAGATATGCATATATTTTGAAAAAATAAACAAACAAAAATTATAAATAAATAATAAATAACACAAATAAAATATGTATATATTTGTAAATACATATTTTAAATGAATACAAATAAATATGTATATTTAAAAACATATCAAATAAACACAAAATAATAATGTATAGATTAAACGAATAAATAAATAAATAATAAATAAAATATATTTTTTAGAATAACTAGTAATTAATACAAAATAAAATATATTTAAGTCAGTAATTTATAAAATACATTTAAATATATATTTTAAATGAAAACAAAATAAGTATATATATATATATATATATATATATATTTTTTTTTTTACACAAAGTACAAAAAATACACATACACACACACATATAGCTATTTATTCACAAATAAATAAAACATGTAATTTAAATATATACAAATATTAAATAAATAAAAAATAATTATGTATAAATAAATATGTATTTATTTTAAATGAATAATAATTTGATCATTCTATCAGTGACATACCTTCTGCAGAGCTGGGTCTGTGGATGAGAACCCTACACGAGGGATGCCGGCGAATGAGATTACAGATGAATGGCAGAAGTATGAGGAGAGCTGTAGGTGGCGCTGTGAGAGACAGGCGAGCGAAGCGCTTCACAAACGCTGCCACAAGATAGGCTGGCAGATGTCTGTCAGAGCAAGTCAGAGCAAACGGGTTACTATTTCACTGCATTTAAGAACAAAACACGACATTTATGTACTCATGCTCATATTGATCTTTAACCAAAATAAAAGTGTAGAGAGCAAACTTACGTTGAAGAGAGGAAGATGTTCACCAGGTGGAAGAAACGTGCTCTGTACTTGACATGGAAGATGGAGGGATCCAGCAGACTGTACAGCTTCTTATAAAAATCTGGGTAATCCCTACACAACAACCCCACAAAGATGGTTTTGAATAAAAAAATATTAAAATGGTCATGTCGATCAGAGAATTGCCTGGTTTAATACTTACAAATTATGCTTATGGATGAGGATGAACAAGCCATTCAGAGCCAACAAACTGATCGCCCCACCTGAGAAAAACAGGTGCATTACAGATATATAACTTTTAATGTCATGAATAATAATTATTTAGTACACCCTGGACTCACCAATGTCATAGGCAGCGCTCAGGAAGTCAATCAGAAGTGTGGGATCACTCATCTGTGGCATTATGGACTCATGAAGGATCACCAGGATCTTCTTGTACATGCTGCTAGGTAACTATGGGAGCCCAAACACCAGTTAAGAACCTCAAAAAACCTTAGGAAAGGTCTTTATAGACAATGAGTATAGTGTGATGCTATAGTGAGGGTTGTTTTACCTTGAACTTGAGAAACAGCAGCCACATTTGCTCAAAAGCTCGTTTATGCTCCTATATGGGAAAAATTATGTATTTATAACGTCAGCATAAATTTTAGACAAATAAATGCGGAAATGTATAATAAAAAAGTATGTACCTTTAGTTTGGCTACTTTCCATTCTTCAGGTTTGTCTATAAAGCACAGCGAGAAATAGTGTTTATGAAGGACAATGTCTTGTAGGGACAATACTACGGTAATAAAGCAAACTTACATGCTTGTTTGACAAGAAAATTTGTAATTTTTGATCCGTGGCTGGGTACGTTGATAGTTGAGAGGAGTGTGTACACATTATTTTGATATACAGGAATCACAGCCTAAAAAAGAGAAAAACAAGCTTGTATAATTGATAATACAGAATAAATATGCAGAAAAACTGGCAATGTAAACACAACCACACTCACCTTTTTGTTTCGGCCCATGACTCTGTAAATGTTGTCTCGTACTGAACTCATGACATAGTAGCGCACATCGTCCATCTCCAAAAACTCTTGAAACCTGGAGATGAGCAGTGACATGTCTTCTTTCGTTGAGAGAAGATGCTCCACCAGGGTCTGTGTACATGAGAGGAATAAGCTTTATTCGTATATGACTTCAGTCTGCAATAGGCTTGCCGCAATAGACGGTGCTGACGGTTATACCGGTGTTAAGCCGCAACACCGGTTACGTCACTTGCCCACCGCGTCACCGACCCCCACCGTCGTTTTGATTTTTTATAGTAATAAAAATCATTTAGTTCAGTAAAAGAACAGACATATATATATTAAAACAACACTAGTCTGTTAGCTATTGGATATCAGATTTGTTTATATTCCAATCTACTGCATATGTAAACTACATAAAAGACCACGTTTATAAAAACTAAACCATCATGTTACTTTCACTCACCTTCACTTGGAAAGCTTCATGGCCTATGTTTTCCAGCAGAAGCTCCACACAGTTGTTGTAACGGTGTCTCATGAATATACGGCATTTGTCTAAAGCACTGCGATCACCTGGGAATTTTACCGTTTAAGTTTACTTTTTAGATTGGACTTGACTACAAAAAATTCATAAAAAAATACACAAAACAAACAATAAATGGTGTATATTTAAGTTCATAACTTGATAGCTGGTTTTGCATACACAATATGTAATAACCACATAGAAATGTGCCCTATGTAAGCGTTCCTCTTTGTAAAATACAGATAAATCGGACAGTCAGATGCCAGTCCAATACATTAACTTTGTTTATCCAATGATCTTAAGATGCAGTAATTTAACGTACCACTCATGAGGTCCTCTTCCTGAGGCAGATCACCAACATAAAGATCTCCTCTGTCGAACAACTGACAGAAAATCCTTTTGCAAGCATCGGTGGCGAAAATTATTTCTTTATCCTTTTCGGACTGCAAGTGAGAAAAAAATGTATGTTTTATAATAGGAGTACAAATAGACCGGAGTATAACGTGTCGAGTCCACTATGAAATAAGAATAACATACCTGCAAATATTGAATAACGTCGAATATGTCGTTAGCATGTTTCTTGTTTTGTAGTATACGACCTATTTTAGTATTTATATCTTTCTTATATGAAATCTGGCTGTTTTCTTCTTTCACGTTGCTGTCCGCGGACGGCGCCATGATTGTTTCACTAAAAAAATGTATTGGTGTGTTCATGTCAAAGGATGAGGTCGCCCCTAGTGCTCAGCTGGAGGAACTGCATGAACTTTTCACTCTGTATTTTCAAATTCATTTCCAATTGAACTTTTCAAATGTCCTTATTATTAAGGTGGGAATTATTGTCAAAAGCAGTTGGTTACTGCAGCGAGTTACTTTTCACTGCGCCCATCAGGCTGGACCAATCAGAATTGTGTGATTACCGAGTGATTTCAGAGTTTGGATTTCAGGTTCGATTTAAATTGGTTTGTCATGGACAAATTCTGTAGTTTATTTAAAAGATGGAACTTTCTAGTGTCTCCAATGAGAGAGAGAGAGAAAAAAATTACTTTTTGAGACAGCTGTTTGGAGAAAACAATTCAATTCAAGTTTATTTGTATAGCGCTTTTCACGATACAAATCGTTGCAAAGCAGCTTTACAGAACATTTAAGTTTCTACAATATATTAGTAGTAGTTTATCGGTGGCGACTGTCAAGTTAATGTACATATGGCAGAAATGTACGGGGGAAAAATCAGTTAATGTCGTAATCAAACAGACGATGAACACTATTAACAGCAATGATTATACGTTGCAATCAAACTTATAGCAAAATGTGGTAGTTCTGTATGTTGTTTGAGGATTGGCATCATCTGAGGTCCTCTGAGGGGTTGGCATCATCTCTTCTCAGGTGTTCTGGATCCAGACTGAAGCTTGTGTAAATCCTAGTTACGTCCCGTGGCAGAAACAACCAGAGACGGACAAAGTACTCAATTCCATTACTTGAGTGAAAGTACAGATACTGCTGGTCAAATATTACTAACAACTGTTCCATCCAAGCAAAAATGATTTGTTCAACCCATGCTAAAGAATATTAATGCGTATTTGATCAGATATAACTGCAGTACAAGATTATGAGATGCAAAGACCAGTTAGGTACGCAGGAGTGAAACCATTAAGGGCCTTATAGGTAAGTAATAATATTTTGTAATTGATACGGAACTTAATAGGTAGCCAGTGCAGAGACTGTAAAATTGGGGTAATATGATCATGTTTTCTTGACCTGGTAAGGACTCTAGCCGCTGCATTTAGCGCTGCATTGGGTGCATTACAAACACTTATACAAACACATATATTTATAATACACAAAAGTATAACCCATTTATAAAATAGTAATAATCTATTAGAATAAATGGTCTAACAACTGAACTATACACTTTCTTGCAAACAGACATTAAAACTGTTTAACAGAAAAGAAACGGTTAAAAGGAAAACTGCAACAAGCCTTAACAAAATCATGTTTATTTCAGAATTTTAATTACAGTGGAATCTTTGGAAATTAATGTTAGCACAAGTAAAAACCAAAATAAAAGATAAAACCAAAAAAGAAAAAAGAAAAGAAAAAAACAAGACTGCTTCTGAGTGATTCAGTCAGATACGTTTCCATCTTCATCATCATCCTGAAAAAAATGCATTTGGATAAACATTAAATATAGTGTCTATAATTCATATTCAGCAGAATGGGAAAAAAAAAAATACAGTATCTCACAGAAGTGAGTACACCCCTCACATTTTTGTAAATATTTTATTATATCTTTTCATGTGACAACACTGAAGAAATGACACTTTGCTACAATGTAAAGTAGTGAGTGTACAGCTTGTATAACAGTGTAAATTTGCTGTCCCCTCAAAATAACTCAACACACAGCCATTAATGTCTAAACCACTGGCCACAAAAGTGAGTACACCCCTAAATTAAAATGTCCAAATTGGGCCCAAAGTGTCAATATTTTGTGTGGCCACCATTATTTTCCAGCACTGCCTTAACCCTCTTGGGCATGGAGTTCACCAGAGCTTCACAGGTTGCCACTGGAGTCCTCTTCCACTCATGACGACATCACGGAGCTGGTGGATGTTAGAGACCTTGCCCTCCTCCACCTTCCGTTTGAGGATGCCCATGCTTGGCCAATCCATCACCTTTACCCTCAGCTTCTTTAGCAAGGCAGTGGTCGTCTTGGAGGTGTGTTTGGGGTCGTTATCATGTTGGAATACTGCCCTGCGGCCCAGTCTCCGAAGTTATAACTTTAAACAAACCTGCAAAACAATACCTACTTTGCGCTCTTGGTTTCCTGTGGCCGTTGCTTCAAAATCATGGATATATAGAGTAGCCATCCAGTTTACCATGGACTTCTCATGGAGCTCAGTCTCCACAATACTGGGATAAATGTGCTTGTCCTTAAAAGCAGCAATGGCTTCTTCTTCCTCAGTCCATTCCAGAGTCTCATGGATGCCATCTCCTCCGAAGCGTTTGTTGTATCGGTCAAAGTGCACCCTCTCCAGCACTAACCCGAGCCCAGGAGCCTTGGGAACGTCAACTTTGTCCTCTCCCCAGCTCCTCTCGATCACTCTTTCATCCACATATCCTTTGACCACAGCGATCACAAGACCGATCATCTTCCGGATCTGGTGCATCATGAAGCTCTGGCCTCTTACTGTGATGACGGCAAACTCAGCTTCCTGTCTCACAAACGGCTCTCCACAGGACATGTGGGTGATATAGCGCTTGGCGCTGGGGTCCCGAGGACCTTTTTGGGATGTGAAGTTGTGGAAGTTGTGGGTGCCTTTATACAGGCCAAATAAGCGGTTGACCTTCTGAAGGGTCTCTGAACTCAGACGGAATGACGTGTCCTCCTGGTTATAGTCCTTTGGGAAGAAAGACACCGTGGGAAGCATGTAGGAATACGTTCTGGCGTCACAGTTGTTTTTGGAATTGAAGCCACCTGTGACCCTCTTGTAACCTGCAAGTTTGAAAACATTTAAATTATGTACATGTACATGATGTACAGATTTCCATCAGTGTTGTTAACTAACACTATTAAAAATCTTGTTTTGTTAATTGAAATAAAGCTGAAATAAGATGCAATATAAATATTACACTAAAAATCCTAAATCGAGAAAAAAAAGAAATCATGGCAACTAAAATAAATTAAAACCTGTAGTATTAAAATGACTCAAATCAGAACTGAAATAAACATAAGTAAAAGCTAAAAAGAAAATTTTTTTTGTTAAAAAAAAATGAAAAAATAAAAAGCGCAAAAATTACTCAAACTAAAATGTCAACTGAAAATATAAAAATAAAAGCAGTTTCATTCAAACTATTAATAAATACAATAATAGTATACAAATAATACAAATATAACACTGATTTCTGTCATTGAACAGGAAATATGTAAATAATAAATAGTTTAATTGTAGTTTTAATTACCTATAATAGCATAAAATACAATATTTTATTAGAAAATGCGTAAGTAATTGAGCATTAGGTTAAAATATTCACCTTATCTGTTCGTGCACACCGCTGGAAAGACATCTTCTTCATGTCATCTCCATGGCCCTCTGGAATACATCCGGCTCTCACAAGAGCAGTGACCAGTTCATCCTCAATGGTTCTGAACTGAGAGTTCTTTGCATTTCTCTGGATGCACAGGACAAGTATTAATGCTTGGACAGCACAGCAATATATAAATCACTATGCTGCTGCATCATCATAACTCACCTGCATTCCATAATACCCTTTGCCTGAATAAGCCATCAGCAGGGCCACCTTTTTCTTGGGGTATTTCCTTTCATCCTGGTCTGTTTTAAGCTTCTTGTCTTCATACTCAGTTTCAGCGTGCGTATCATCTGCTGGTCTTTTCAACGCTTTGATTTGGGCGTCTGATGAATCCTCAGTCATCTTGCTGGACATGCAAAATCCACGGAACTTTAATTTAGGATCCGGCCACCCTGAAGAGCGTTTCAGTTAGCGGTGAATCAGTTACTTTGCAGCAAAACGCATTGTTAAGAAACTCACCTTTGTTTTTGAGAGCTGGAATAAATGTGTGACTTGATACAATATGAATGATCCGACAGCACCTCAGCATGTCACCACACTCTTCAGTGAGGATCTCAGCAATGTCTTTTGAACAAAACCGACTCGACTGCTTTTACGTTAACGGCCATTTTCTACAATAAGTGAAATTAATTTAGAAAACGAATTTTGCATGTATTTATGACAGCAGTATAATCTATCTTCACCACAACAACTTATTTACTTCCCGCTGTACCATGCAGACACCCACGTGGAGTTGCTGAACTTTCACATCTCGCCGAATATCGCGTGACCTAAAACGGGTTGCCAGGTTTTCCAAAAAAAAAAAAAAAAGCGAACAAGAATGGGGCCATGTTTTTACAATCTGCCTCAATTGTAGTATCATTGAGATACTCCTACTATTACAGTTTTTATTAATATTTTGAATCTGAAATATTTTGAGTATTTTCATATTTAACAGTTTCATTTGTGTTTTGTCATTTTTATGTCTGTAGTTCGCATTAATTTTGATTTCATTTAGTTTTAGTTATGAAAGCATTTTTTATGCTTTTAATTTTAGTTTCATTTTTATTTGACTATAATAACCCTGATTTACAGTTAATCATATTTATATTAATTTTAATGAATATAATTTTAAAAATATTCCAATAATCTTTAATTATATATATTTTAATTATTCATTTAAAATATACAATTTAATATAAAAATTCATAACATACTTCTAAATGAAAAATATAATTGTAAAATTCTTGTATAAACTCTTGTATAACATTTTAAATATTTATCAGACTACGGCTCACAAAAAACAAAGGCAATTTATTTCAGTTTTTCTCTTTTATTGGTGCTGTACTGTTTAAAGCAAAAAGTTACATATTATATAGACATGAAAGAGTGTGTACAGATCTTTTTACAGAACAAACAACTGTAAATGTTTATCAACAGTCACAATTGGGAACGTTCATATCTTTGGTGGGGAAAGGGTGACGGAAAGCAAATCTCCATGCGTTTGTTAAATGTATAAGTTTGAAAGCGATAATTTACAATCCAGATTTACACATGATACTGAGAAATCAAGGTAAAACAGATGCATGTCTTTATTACTGGAGAACAAAACGAGGACGTCAGACAGTGTAGTGATGCAGAACTGCTGAGCTCACATATTGCAAGCTTTAGTGTCTGTAGATTAATGACAAAGTGATGCTTAAATCAGATGACCAAACACTTCATGCGGTACATAGCGATTAAAAGTGTCACGATACATCCAATGGCCATTTAGGTGGCGATTGACAGTTGATGGATTAAACACAATTTTTATTTTATGCCATTTAAAAAGCACAACAAATACATGTAATGCAGCATAATCCTCAAATTTTCAGACAGAGAAAATAAAAAAAGCTATTACTCTTTTAACAAAGTTGTTAAAATTGCAATTTAACTGGTAAGTATAAGAGGGAAAAATGCATGTTGCTATGGCCTTTGGAACTCAAAACAGAAATAATAGCTTATGTCTCACTATCATGACACCGCACTTCAGTTTATTCAAAGAAAACTAGTATGTATGATATTTAAACACACACAAACACATTCACACACACATAAAAGTGAAGCAAAACTAAATCAATCCCACTGCATCTCAACCCAGTCAAATTCAACCAATCGAAACACAACTCACTCCACACTGACAATGTACAAAAACAAAGAAAGAAAGAAGAAAAAAAAAAAGGAAAATATTTTTTCAGTGTTTGCTTTTTTTTCTTTAAAGGCACATTTTAAAAATGTTTTAAATATTGTTTAACACATAAACACACTGTTCATATACAACACAATTGAAATAAGGCTAAAAAGCACTGACTATATAACTCTACAAAGAAAGTAAGGAAATGTGGTGTTCACACAAATGGTCCGCTTGATTTTTAATGTCTTCTGCTTACCTAACAAAAGAGTCCTCAAACAGTGCAAGCAAGAATTGACTACTATCTTAAGACCTGTCCTTTATATACCTGCTTCAGATTATACACAGCTCACATCAACAACAGGAACAACTATGCATGCACAACCCAAAAGGAAGTACATTCTGTCCTCAGAACAAACACTAAAAATAGGCATTAAAGTCCCAGTTTAATCTAGATGGAAATCAGGAAGAGGACCGATCATCAGGGCACACATATGATTCGGTATAATCAAGAGTTTCTTATAAATTCAGCCGTTTTTGATGCCAACGCCAACCTAATATTGAGCGGGCTGACATTAATAACGCCTTTATCTAATCTAGAAAATGCACTTAAGATTTTTTTGGCATAATATTTAGACCAAATAACAGCTAAAATCCTCTGTAATGGTGCAGGACATTTATGTCTTGCCCTAATGCGACAAACTTAAAAAAGCCAAACTACATTCAGACAAATGATTGCCAAACACAATAATAGCTATTAAAAAAAGAAGAAACTGAACAGGCCATAAGAGATGTCCAAACACCGCACACAATATTCATTTCCTAGACATTTTAAGGAGGAAACAGAGATTTGACATGCCCTTACTTGGTAAACATTCACTAAAGTGCTACAAATGATTTTGCTGGCTTTATACAGTTTCCTTCTGAGGAACAATGAGAATGTCTATTAAGTAATTGGCAAAACTATTTCTTTTTCGAATGGCTTGTAATTTGGTCATTGAATTTCTGATTAAACTCCCCAGTGAGGGAGTATTTGGGCCTCTTATAACATTCAAATGGTGCACAGCTCGCATTTACCGGTCTGCAACATTCATCCAAAGACTGTATCTACTTCTAACTGGACATTTGGAATTAAACCAACCAACCAAACAAAATGACTTTAACTTCAATCACACAAAGCACCCCCAAATGCACTATTAAATCACTTATAATCATCTTAAAAGTGATTTCTATAACATCTATAACGTCTCTCTGCTAGTTAACGTAGTGAATAGGCAGATCACTGACTACAAACTAAGAAAAATATAAGAAACTGATGTTCTGGGGTGGATAAACCTCATCTAAGATTGCACAACCCATTTATAACACGCAACCATTCCTATGTGAGCCAACAAGTGCACTGAGAAACATGTTTGTACTACACTTTAAACTCGGTGAGAGAATAATTGTGGAAACAGGTTTCATCTTGACAACTGACACAGGTGTTATTCTGTCCTTCTGTGTTGGTGATGATGTAAAGTGGCAACACGTCCAAATCTTCGCATCTCTCCACCATTACGACATCAGCTGTCAATCAGGTTAACGTGGTCCAATCAGAGGGCCGTTCCCTCCCCCACAGCACTGGAAAAAGATTGCTCGAGGGAGAAACGGGAATCTTGATGGTGTAACAGCTGCGTGGTGGAGAGATTTTACACACAGAGACCCGACTGCAAGGCGTTGAGACGGCGTTCGATGCATTGCTTACCTATAGAGAAATATCATCCTGGTTATGCAAATGATCTTAAAATGACATCTTAAATGTTAAAACGTACTGAAGTCTATTGTATTACTCACACTTGCTAACGCTGAGGATGTCAGCCTGATCTGTGAGGAGGAGAGACAGACCCTCCATGAGCAGCAAGGCCTTATGGTAGCGCTGAACTGATGCTTCCCCTTGATGAAACATCTCATCTAGAGCAGCCGTCTGCACCTGTAAGACCAGACCACTTCATAAATACACTTGAGCAACTGTTAAAAGCTCAAATTCACAACAGAAAAGAGCCTGGATGTCATCATTTCCTAACGTTTTTCTTACCATCTGTACAGTGTGGCTGAAAAGGAGCCTCTCTGCGGTGATGCTGTTGATGTGGTCCATGAGTTTGTGTTTACGGGAGAAGAATCGCTCCAGCTGAGCGCTCAGAGAACGGCAGGACATCACGCTGGACTTATACAGGTCATTCAGCCTCCTCACCACTGAAAGAAAAAAATCAAGGTGAAAACCTCCTCAGTTCCACTGTATGGACATTTTTACTGACTTGCATGCAAACTACAGTTGGTCTCAAGTATTTGTACATTGGACACTGCATCTCTAATATATTTTAGTTCCATAAAACACTGTAGGTCAGTCTATCTACACCAGGTTTTCCCAAACTGGAGGTTAATAATTAAATAAATAATAATAATAATAATGAAAACATTTAAATAAATAATGTAACAATTCAAACAAAACAAATAAAAAGTTAGTAAAAAAAATTACTATTTCATTTGTTTACCTGCATGCCATGCAAATACTGTATAAACTGACATCCGGGAACAAAATTATTGAAATATTAGCTAAAAACTGACAAAAAAAAGTTTGGGAATCCTTTCCCGACACCCTCTAATGACTATATACATTTAAATATTTTTCAATAAACATTTATTGCTTTACCTAAATTTCACATTTTAAATGTATTATATTCAGGGGTGCACGTAAGTTTTTCAGCCTGGCTCTCATAAGAGCACCGAGAGATTTGGTTTGATCCCTATACTGCACATAGTGTGACACATTAAATATCATTTAAAAAAACATTAATAATAGTGATAATAGTATTTTTGCACTTGATTTATTTATTTTTTAAATAAAATAAAGTGTGATATTATGATTATATTTTAAAATAAAAATAAGAGTATTAAATAAAAATACAATTATTTTATAGAAAACTTAAAAATGAGATGCTGATATTTACTTTATGAATTTTCATAATTTTCAACCTTTGTAACAAATGTAGAAGAGGTGCTCTACCAACAGAAGAGGAGGTGCAACCAAAAATCAAAAAACCATCATTTTCAACCTTAAAATCAGCAATCTTATACAGCATTACAGTTTGTCGATCTAAAATGGTAATTGTGCATTAACAGCTGTCAACCATGTTTGTACGCAAATTAGCGTATTTATTTATTTATTTACACAGCACATTTTTTATTTTGGTCACGTATGCGCACCTGCGGACCACTTATGTGCACCCCTGATTACATTGTACTTGTATTCAATGACTTGTCAAGATTTTTATATTTCACCGCCCCTTACTTTAGTTAAGTCATTTGCAATGCTTCGGGGATGAGGAATCCCAAAATAATAAAATAAAAAAACTATATATATAAGAAATATTTATATATTAGATTTATTTTATTATTATAAAATCATTACTATATTATAGATATTTATAATTATTTTATACAAGTGCTTTGAAACATTTTAAAATGAATTTTTAATGCGTATTGAGAAAATGGATGGTAACTATGCTTCAAAAGTGGATGTCACTGTTGTGCTT